ATATATTATTTTAGTAGCACGATGCTCTCTGTCTATAAAATAAATAGTGTTTAAATAATATCATGTGTAACTATCATATACTTAAGTGGCATAAAAAACTAACAAAAGAAAATGGAAAAAGGACTTGGGAAGGTAATTAACGTTTCAGTAAGTTCACATCTGAGTAACTATTTTTTTTACACATCTAAGTAACAAACTTATTGGAAGTGTTCACATATGACCATTATGACCGACTGTAGCAGGTTACATCCTAGATGTGAACACTTTCAACAAGTTCGTTACCAAGATGTGTACAAAAAAATAGTTACCCAAATATGAATAAAACAAAAAGTAAGAGTAAATTACACGATGGTCCCTGTGGTTTGGAGGAATTTGTGTTTTTGGTCCCTAACTTATTTTGTTTAACTCGTATGGTCCCTACTGTTTCTTTTTGTTGCGCGTTTGGTCTTTTTCTTACCTAAAAAAAGACTATTATGCCCTTATTGATTTATTTTTTAATTAATTTTCTTATTTATGTATTTATTTTTTATATATTTAAAAAAATTAATAGACCTCACATATTTGTATCTCCTCACCAACTAAAGATGAAGAGACAATGTATATTATAGGGATGATCCGATCCACAAGGATCATGATTGGGAATTGTTTGATCGTCTTTCTCTGAGAAAGAGGCAAAATAGAACCAACTTGAATTCGGGACCACTATTCGAAATCTTAGTATAACACTAGATTTGTTATCTCATGTCTGCTTTTCGTGAAAAAATACCAATTGAAGTGGAGGGTTTATTCAACCAACAAGGGGTTGGGTCAACTATTAAATCAAATGATATTGAGCACTAAAGATGAGGAGATACAAATATATGAGGTTTATTAATTTTTTTAAATATATAAAAAATAAATACATAAATAAGAAAATTAATTAAAAAATAAATTAATAAGGGAACAATAGTCTTTTTAGGTAAGACAAGGACCAAACGCGCAATAAAAATAAACAGTAGGGACCATCCGAGTTAAAAAAATAAGTTAGGGACCAAAAACATAAATTTCAACAAACCACAGGGACCATTCATGTAATTTACTCTTACTTTTCGTTTTGTTCATACTTGGGTAACTATTTTTTTTGTACACATCTAGGTAACGAACTTGTTGAAAGTGTTCACATCTAGGATGTAACCTGCTACAGCCAGTCATAATGGTCATATGTGAACACTTCCAACAAGTTTATTACCTAGATGTGTACAAAAAAAAGATAGTTAACCAAATGTGAACTTACTGAAAAATTAATTACCTTCCCAAGTCATTTTCCCAAAGAAAATTTAGTTTTCACTCTTTGAACCTTTCTTTATGCAGTGATTTTTTTATTAATTAATTTTATGAAACATCTAATTCTAAATAGCAAATTTATATCTCTAATGAAATGGTCTTTAGGACGATGCAACATAATATCCGAATTTTACCATTATGTTTTATATAAATTTGAACATCTATTCTAATAATTAAAGATTTTTTTGCCATATGTTACATTTTCATTAAATTTGCTAAATGTTATTTTGAATTAATTTTTTTTTCTATATGTCATTTTTTGGGTTTTCCTATTATATTAAATTTAACTTAATATTTTAATGTAATAATGACAATAAATGTTGTAATAAATGGATATCAATTTCATTAATATACTTACCTTGTAATTTTCAAATTAAAGTTCATTAGTTTTTTTGTTTCTTTATTTAAATTATTTGTTAAAATTTAAAAGATAAAAAACATTTCAATTTTAATAATTTATTATTTTTTTTATTTTCTTATAAATCTAAAGTTTTCAAATATTTAAACTTTGGGATTTAACTTTTTTTTTAAGGTCTAACAACTTGTATTTCAATAATAGAGGCTTCCCCTTTCAATTCTCAAGCACCGTTTAAAACTTTAAGCTTGTCCAAACTCTTAACACTTGGGCTATGTTTGGCTTACTAACTGAAAAGCTAGCTGTTAGCTGAAAAGCTAGTTGATAGTTAAAAAACTAGCTGTTAAATAAAAAGCTAGTTGATAGCTGAAAAGCTAGCTGATAAAAAAATAACGTTTGGTAAAACTAGCTGAAATATATAAAATTACATAAAAGGACATGTAAGAGTATGTGTTTCTATAATTAATTAAGGGGTGTATTTCGAAAATTTTAAAAAAGCCCCTAAAAAGCTAGTCTAAGTAGCCTTTCAAAGAGCTAGCTTATAAGCTAGCTTATAAGGTACTTTTTTGGCTTACCAAACACAACAACATAAAAAAGCTCGAAAAATAAGCTAGTTTATCAGCTAGCTGTGGCGCGCCAAACACAGCCTTGGTACGTCGATATAATGCCAAAAACCATTTTTCATTTTCTTTAGTATTTGCTGAATGTGATTCGCAATAATTAAATATTACTAAGGGTGAGTCGATTTATATATCTTCATATCAGTTTAAAAAATAATGAAATCAAGCTTTTTTAAGAGATCAAAGCACTATCCTCAAAAGAACCAACAAAAAAATTTAAAATTAATTTCTAAAAGTGAAAATAAATAAACTTTAGGTTGTTTATTGATTGGTGGAGCAAGTTAAACAAAATTTGAAAGATGTGAAGATCCGGTGATGGTATCAATTAGAAAACTGCATGTAAACATATATGAAAGTGGGTTTTGAAAGTGATGCTCATAACATCGAACATGTGGTTCTTGGAATTCAGACATCAATTTCAATCCTAAAATCAGTTGATTATCAATAAATGAACGCCAAATATTAGTTGATAAAACATAGTTTGTATTAAGGTTACAGGGTTTAAACTTATTGCTACGTAGATTTAATATCTTCAAACAGATAATTAGGGCTAAATAAGTTAAATTAAAACCATGCTCTGAAACCACATGTTGTTATCTAGGCATAATCCAAGATCAATTTATTCATATACATGAAGAAACCAACATTAATTGAAGAATATTTACTTGAAGAAGATGATAACTCAATGATGTTTAAGATGTCTGACTTCATATTATGATTCGTTCACTTCAAGTATTGGTATCATAGTCATGAATTCTGATGGATAGAAATATGATGGATAGAATTTCGCACAATTATGGTTTTTTTATAGAGAGGCTTTAGGAGTTGAAAGAGAAGAAGCATTAATCTCTTTGTATGCCCTCTTAAAAGTGCGTTTAATTGATTAACTATACCTTATGGGAAAATATTAGAACCATGCATATTTGGTCCTTCGATTTATGGACAAATATCATATCCATTATACTACACATAATTAATCCTAGGGATCGATATGTCATACGGAAAATATTATGGTATGTAATGTAATTGTACCCGACACATAAAACATTACAAAATAGTCTCATGCTCCAGTTCAATAAGGAAGAATGGATCTTATTAGAAACAATTTGCCAACACACACCACAACAAAATGGTATTGTGGAAATGAAGCGTGTTAGAAATTGATTAAGAACACAATTGATTCAATAAAAGCAGTAAATAACACGATATCTAAATAAGATCGCTTTGGCTCTATTACGTCTAAAGAGTACAACAGAGTATTTGGGTACAAGATGAAAAATGACGTTTAGTTCATTACTCTAGTTACCCTATTCATAGGGTACAACAGACTCACAAAAAATACAAGGACTAGACATTAAGTTTCAAAACTAAAACTGCCTTGTAAATAGATAAAGTATCGAAACCATACTATTGTCGACACTTACAAAGTCTAACTACTTTCGACTTCTCACTGTATACATTTGACCTAACATTCTCCCCTTAGTGAGAAAAGTCGAATATCAAGCAATCATCTTCATAGTCTGCAAAAGTTCCCTTCGAATATCCATATACCATAAAATCTTTTTTTTTTCTTTTAAATTTCAGCTTTGTCTTCATTATCATTCTTCTTATAATTGTTGATTCGAATTAGGAGATTTGTGTAATGAGAGTTTGTGTACCTCTCAATATCACTAACTTGAAACACAAATATTGTCAGTTGCCCTCTGTTCTTTCCCTTGAACACGGCACCAAGTAGTTGATGAATAATTTCACCATCGTCAAAATCATCGATATTCAACTTTCCTTTCAATAAAGACTAAGGAACTTTCAATGTCCTATTGACAGCTAAGGCAAGATCAATGTATGCTATTGCCAAATAATCATAGTAGTTGTCAAGAAAGGCTTTGAGATGAGCAAACCCAATAACGAAATCATTGTTATTGGTCTCTGTTATCTTCGATACATCAACAATGCTCAAATTTTTTGCGACCGTGATTAGATCATTCAAATTCATCAAATGGAAATCTACTATAGTGAACTCAAACATAACATTATTTACCCTTACGACAACATAATGAAAGTTTTATAGCATACCTTCGAACAATCTGTCACGCACAATAGTCATTACTTTAACAATCTTCACAAAAGACCACACCTCATCTTCATTCTTACCCAAGACTGTGCAAAAGTGAATCTTTAATTTTTTAAATTATTCTTTATTATTGAAGTTATCTGCAATATTGAATTATGAAGAAGTGAACAACATATGATTGATTAGAAAGTTAAGCTGATTAAAATCAGAATTTTCTGTGTCATAGCTCTTCTTTTGCACTTTCAAAACTCATCATTTGATCTAATTGCAACAATATCGTCTATTGTTTCCTAACACCACTGCCTGTTGGGATCGCCCTTGTTCAAGCCAGGTGGGTTATTTTCTCGTTGCCTTAGAATGCTATTTATCTGCCTTTGTCTTTCGATTTTGATAGCTTGTTGCCTTTTCTTCTTTTTATCTAACTAAAAAACTGAAATAGATTTCCCTTTATCTTTTGGATCAACACTTGAAGTTGATTTGATAGGGATTGAACTCGAACCTCCTATATCTTCGTTTATCGAGACTCCTTTTGTTAAAGTTCTCGTAGTTGTTGTTGTCGTAGTAGTTTTTGAAGATGAACTTATGGGCTTCATCGAAATAATTGTTGTGATTTGAGTACTTATCACCTTTCTCACAACCACTCCAGAGTTTTCACATGAAGCTTTCGATGAACCAACTCCCCCTTTTTCTCCCCTTGCGAAACTTGCACAACACGAGGAGCATTTGTTGGAAGTCGAAGAACTAAATCCCTAATACGATCCAGTTCAGCCTTAATGTTTGACTGGATATGAGAAACCATTTGAGAAATGGATTCTAGAGAAATAGTTGACTGTGTCAAGAGCATGGCTTTGATTTTGGTTAAAAACTCTTCAACTTTAGCAAAGACTTTAGCATCCCCTTTCTTCTTGTCTTGAAGACCAGTCATGTAATCCTTGTTGAAAGAAGTGATATCTTCAATCAATCTGGTAGTTGATTCGGCAACCACATCTAGCTTCTTATAGATCATAGTAGAACTCTCATCAAACTTCTTAACTTCAGATTCCAACAGGGTTCTGATGTATTTTATCTGAGTCTGTAAAAAGACTTTTGTTTCCTCAAGTTGTTTTGCAAGAATCTCATGACGTTCTTTCAAAACATCACGAAGCTTAAAGATTTCACCATTAAGAGTTTGAGAATGATTAAGAACTCGTTCATCATTACGCTTATGAACATCATCTATTAGAGTCCGCAGTCGAGACTCTTGAGCTTTGAGAAGATACTCAACTTCGACTCCACTCACATAATGCTTGCTACTTGTATCAGCCAAGAACTGTAAAATCCAACTCATCTTGGAATTCAAAATTTTGAATTGTTTTCCTAACATGATCAGTTCATCAGGAATATTTTCGATGTCAAAGATTGATCATTGTTTAATTCCGACATTGAATCATTACATTCTTTGCCTTTAGCCATTGAAGTGACATTAATGATAGACAATCATGAGCAATCGACACTGATATTGTAAGAATTATCTTTGATATCAGCAAAATTCTGTTGAGAACAATGTGTCGACTTCTCAGTTATGTTCAAAATCTTGACTTGTTCATTTTTGCTTAAGGTCTCATTCACAGTTTTCACAAGATCATCAATATTCAAACATTCATTAATATCCACAATACCATATGCATATGAATCATTTGAAATTTTATCATAATATGCTATCTTGCTTTCACAGTCATATGTGATTTCGTCTATCTGTTTTCTTTTAAAAGCAAGAAAAAGAAGTAGCTTTCGATGTTGTTCATCATAAATCTCAATAGAATGATAAACTTTAATTAATTTCACATACAATCTTTTAGCATTATTACAATAGATGTTTCGTTGTTTTACAAGCATTATATTGTCCATTCATATACTATTTCTCTCTACCAAAAGACTAGTAATCCTTAAGTCTAGAGATTCAACTAAACCCTTCTCTTCTTCTAGTTTATTCTTAGCTTCATAATAAAGGGTTTTGGACTTTTCTGCTTCAATACTCATAGAGATTTGATGGGTTTTCAGTAAAACAAATAAACTAGAAAACAATTCCTAAGTTCACATGCAACCTACTTTGGATCTATGTTTTAACTATTGAACATATAACTTTGAATTGCAAAACAAGAACCCTAGAGGAGAGAGGCTAATTTCGAAATTAACAAACTAGGGTTTAGGAGTTACATACCTTTAAATTGTTATAGCAAACAATTGATAATCCTCTTGATCTTGATCTTGATCTTCTTGGAAGCTTAGCACCACAAATGTAATGCCTCTAATGGAATCACACCCAAGAACTAGCAAGAAGGAAACTTGGAGGAGAGAGGATGGAGAGAGCATGCAATTTCGGCCTTAGGGTTTCTTCCAAAGAAATCAGTGACCTCAAATGTGAGCCAGGAGGCTCCTTAAATAGCTGAGGGATCTAGGGTTTAGGGAAAACCCTAGTTATCCTTTGCTTAGGGCCTAAGCAAGATCCAAAGGCCTTAGTTTGACCCCTTGGACGAAATCTCTAGGGTTTCCCCTAAGAATTTCGTCCACCTCCTTCCAAGGGGGTTCTGGAACCTTCCACTCAACTATTAGTTAATTGCAAACTAGTCCCCACACTTTATAATTAATTCTTTTAACCCCAAAATTAATTCTGATTAATTTCTGGCTAACTATTAATTAAACATAATGATTTCTAATTAATATATTAATCTTTTAACATATTAATAAATCATTTATATTAATTCATTAATCTTATAAATTAATATCTCTCATTTCATAATTTCCTTGTCCAGTTGCTAGGTTGAGGGCAACCCAAAAGGACTGTGCTGCTATCAATTCAAGTATATACCAATTATAGTTATGGGCTTAGACACCTAATCCAACAGTCTCCCACTTGGATAAGTCTGTAACTATAATTGCTAGTATGCCTTCTAAATTTGACCAGCAAATTGTAGCTTCCAAAAAGCTGCTGCCGAACTCTGACCCAGTCAGTTACGTGTCCTAAGATAAATGATCATATAATCCTTCGTTCTGCCAGATGTCCCTAGACAAAAGACATGGGATGTAATCAATCTCTTTATCCAGAATCTATGTTTCCCGATTTCTGATTTGTGATGATGTAGGACTTCTAATCGAACACATCAATCTAGTCCTGGCTGGGCCCAGCACATAAGTCAACACCAAATCATCGAGGGGCCCACAGATATCGCTTTTCCTATTAGGGCAAAAGGAACGAATAAACGTTGACTCATATGCTTGTATCTTTTACTCATCAAATCATACATGACAATACGTTTTATAACACCAAGTTACTGATGCGTTTTCGTATCACCAATGCATGACCGACTTGTAAATTGCAACTCATATATCTTCCTTTCAAGATTATAAGATATTATCGTCTCAGTATTACTCGTGATGAATTCCATGAAGTGATACTCTGAGCGAGGGTTTATCCAGTACTCAAATCTCAATTTCTGAGTACTCATGAACGTTGCAGCAATTCTATTGCCATGTCTATCCTTAGACAATCTACAATCCAGTTCATGACAGTCTTAATTCACTACTTACTTCCAAAAGTATGAGTGACTGTGAAGTTTGAATAATCTTATTATTCGGGAAGTAAAACATGCAAAAATGAAACACAATAATAAACAATTGACAAAAGGCAGAAACCAAACTTATAAATAATACTTTATTATTTAATCACCAAAAGTCAATTACATTTACTTTGTTACAAGTTTCAGAATAAAACTAATCTAACTACTAAAACTAATATCATCTTTCAGTCCTATGCTCCGAGCATGCTGAATATGCTAGCCCTACTCAGACCCTTTGTGAGGGGATCTGCTGGGTTATCTTCAGATGACACCCTCTTTACTATAAGATGGCCTTCTTCAACTCTATGTCTGATGAAATGGTACTTTCTGTCGATATGTCTGGTCTTACCATGATCTCTCGGTTCCTTTGTCAAGACAACCGCTCCTTCATTATTGCAGAACAGTTCCATAGGCTCCTGGATGGTTGGAACAACTTCGAGATCCCCGATGAAGTTCCTCAACCAAGCTGCTTCTTTCGACGTCTCACTTGCTGCTATGTACTCTGATTCACAAGTAGAATCAGCCACCGTATTTTGCTTGGAACTCTTCCAAGTAACTGCTCCTCCATTCAGTAAAAACACCCAGCCCAACTGAGAACGGAATTTATCTCTATCCGTCTGAAAGCTGGCATCACTGTAACCATCTACTCTCAAAGTATCACTGCCACCAAGCACAAGGACCCAGTCCTTTGTCCTTCGCAAATACTTGACTATATTCTTAACTGCTATCCAATGAGCTCTACCTGGGTTTCCCTGATAGTGACTGACCATGCTCAAAGCAAATGCCACATCAGGGCGAGTACATGATCGATCCGACAGCGGAAGCATAAGGTACACGACTCATGTCATCTATTTCAACATCTATACTCGGGCATTGAGTCTTACTCAATTTGGTATTGCTCTGGATAGGTAGCTCTCCCTTCTTGAAATTTTCCATACTAAACCTCTTTAGTACCTTATCCAAGTATGTGCTCTGACTAAGTCCAATTAGTCTCTTCTTTCTATCTCTCAATATTCTAATCCCAAGAATATAGGCAGCTTCTCCAAGGTCTTTCATGGCAAAACACTTTCCAAGCCAAGACTTAACTTCTTTCAAGGTTGGAACGTCGTTACCAATAAGTAATATGTCATCGACATACAACACCAGAAAAGTTACTATACTCCCACTAGCCTTGATATACACACAGAACTCATCTTCACTTCTAGAGAAACCAAACTCTTTGACTTTCTCATGGAAGCAAAGATTCCAACTGCGAGATGCTTGTTTCAATCCATAAATGGATTTCTCAAGCTTGCACACTCTATTGGGGAACTTTGCATCAACAAAACCCTCTGGCTGACTCATGTAAACATCTTCAGCCAACTTCCCATTAAGGAAAGCAGTTTTGACATTCATCTGCCAGATTTCATAATCATGAAAGGCAGCTATGGCGAGCAATATCCTAATAGATTTAATCTTAGCCACTGGCGAGAAGGTCTCATCATAGTCAACCCCTGGGGTTTGAGTGAAACCTTTTGCAACCAGTCGAGCCTTGAATGTGTGCACATTTCCATCCATGTCTGTCTTCTTCTTGAAGATCCATTTGCACCCAACTGTCTTACGACCTGGTGCACTATCAACCAAATTCCAAACTTGGTTGTCATACATGGACTTAATCTCGCTGTCCATTGCCTCTTTCCACTTGGAAGCCTCTGGGCCTGCCATTGCTTCCTTATAAGTGACTGGTTCATCTAAGTTTACCAGTGTTCTGTCACTTATGAATGTGTCACCATCTGAAGTAATATGAAAACCATACAACTCAGGTGGCACACTCACCCTAGTGTATCTTCTAAGAGGTAATGAGTTATCGATTGGTTCAACAAGAACTGTTTCCTCTGGTTGAGTGCTAGTGTCATCTAAGGTTCCTTCATTGCCTGACTCTTGAATTTCTTCAAGGTCAATAGTGCTCCCACTGTCCTCTTTGAATATGAGCTCTCTTTCAAGAAAGACTCCTCTTCGTGCTACAAAGACCACGTTCTCACTAGGCCTGTAGAACAAATATACAAAAGACTGCTTTGGGTAACCAATGAAAACACATTTCTCACTTCTAGCTGCTAGCTTGTCGTGAGTCTCTCGTCTTACGAAAGCTTCACAACCCCAGACTTTAATATGTGCTAACGAGGGAACTTTCCCTGTCCACATTTCGTGAGGTGTTTTGGCAACCTTCTTTGTAGGGACAAGATTGAGGATGTGGGCGGCTGTCTCTAAGGCATACCCCCAGAAGTGAATGGGAAGCGAAGCCCGACTCATCATAGAATGAACCATGTCTAACAAGGTTCGATTACGTCTCTCAGCTACACCATTTAACTGTGGTGTCCTAGGAGGAGTCAATTGTGAGACTATCCCACATTCTTTCAGATAGTTGTTAAACTCGATACTAAGATACTCCCCGCCTCTATCGGATCTAAGTATCTTTATCTTTCTGCCCAATTGATTTTCGACTTCATGCGTAAACTCTTTGAACTTTTCAAAAGTTTCTGACTTATGCTTGATCAAGTAGATATATCCATATCTGCTATAATCGTCAGTGAAAGTCACATAGAATCGATTAGCATCTCTTGTAGTTGATCTGAAGGGCCCACACACATCTGTGTGTATGAGATCCAACAGACCTTCACCTCTTTCACAAGACCCTGTGAATGGTGTCATCTTTCCCAAAAGACAAGATTCACACATATCATCTGATTTTAGG